CACAATCAGTGATTGGAACTTTTTGTTGACCTTGTTTTGAGATGGGTCTTTGTTTTTGTACTTTGTAATTTATTTTTTGTAGCACTCCATGTTGTACGCCATGTTGAGTATGTTCAGAAGAATATAAAGCCATATAAATAATAAATATTTGATATACTGTATATTTTTTACATTCGTAATTCATTTTACACATAATTTTACATTATTTTTGGGAGTAAACTAATTTAAGCAACAAAAAAACTGAGGAGCCATTTGGGAGCCGAAAGAGCCGGCTCTTTTTAGGGAGCCGAGCCAAAAGAACCGGCTCCCTAAAAGGAGCCGGAATTCCCATCACTAGAACCTGAAGAGAGAGCTTTGTACGAGGTTAGCCCGAAGCTAAAAAAAAAAAAAACGGATTCGCCGTCACTCCCTCCACTTAAAGGGGAAGTCATAGCCAACATTTTCCGAACAGTCATATGTTCGAGGTGCCCCTACTCCTAGTCTAAACACGGCATTTTGATAAAAATTGTGTTTCTGGAACGTGAAATATCAATATGCAGCAAAATACAGCTGTTCTCATCCATTTCAAGGGGTGGTCATTTTGTCACTTGCTGTCGACTGAAAATGACATCACAGGTGCTCAGGTAGCCTCAACCACAGCACACCAGATTTCTGGGTTTGGTCAGTTTATGTTCGTAAGCGGGGTGGCACGTTGGACAAAAGGTTTATTACGTCCGCCTCACAGTGCAGAGGTGCAGGGTTCGATTAGAGCTCTGGCCTTCCTGTGTGGAGTTTGCATTTTCTCCCCATGCCTGCATGGGTTTTCTCCGGGTACTCCGGTTTCCTCCCACATTCCAAAAACATGCATGACAGGTTAATTGAACACTCTAAATTGTCCCTAGGTGTGAGTGTGAGTGCAGATTGTTGTTCATATAGGTGTGCCCTGTGATTGGCTCGCAACCAGTTCAGGGTACCCCGGCCTACGGCCCAAAGACAGCTAAGATAAAACTGTGACCCGTGTGAGGATAAGGGGATCAGAAAATGGATGGATGGAATATACCATTGATCTGAAGGTATGTGCACAACGAACGCCAAACTCCACACACTAACCAGGTGTTAAAACACCGTTTGATTGGTGAATAAAGTTTGGTGGAATCCATAATATTTTGTTTCAGGTGGGTCAACACACTCAGAATACAGGCAAAGTTAGCTTTCTTTAAAGAATCGACCGTCTCGCGCTTTGCATTTTATTTACTTGACTAGAAGTAGTTGTACGTGCCATCCAATAGGTGGGGGTATTAAACAAGTAAATTCAAACAAAAGAAAAAGACAACCAACCGAAGAACAGAGAGTAGAAATTAAGAAACTTAAATTTATACGTGAATAAGAATGCGGTGTATTGCGTGTATTAACATCTAATTTGTAAGCAGTTAAAATAGATACATAGCACATGTGTGCATATTACTCTAAAAACAGCTGTCAATAACGGCATCATTTACGTAACTTTCGCGGTTCTTGGACTACAAATCAACGTCACTACCTTGACTACGACATTTCGGTAGGTCCAAAAGAGCGAAGCTGCTGAGATGTCCTATTGGCTCTAATATGTACGTCTGTCGCCACGTTTGGTCAGTAAATAGTAACACTGGACGACAGCATTTGATTTATTATGAGAGTCGTCTTTGGTCTGTAAGCTTCCCCAACTTTTCAAAGATATATTCGACAAAGGAAACGTCAATGTGACACAATGGTCCTTGCTAATTGTGAGCATTCTCAGTTTTTCAGCAATTTTCTGTCATGCCTATATTGTTAATGAAACCATACAGATGCTAAATCCACGAAATGCCTTAAAGACAACATAAGTGCCTTTGTGAATTAATTTTTCGGATCCGCTACCGAAGTGCATCCAGTTTCAATTTCATACAAAAACACTACTGTTTAATTGTAAAAAGGATTTTAAAAAATGCTATTTGTAAAATTACAATTCAAAAGGTGAATCGAGAAATAGGTGTTTCACATCACAATATCCTCTTCCAAAAAATTGCAAGAAAAAACAAAAACAAAAGAATCACAATCAAATACGGTACGTTGGATGACTGCATATGATTTTGGCATCATTCAGTTTATAATTTGGCTTTGGTCTTTGGATGTCCACAGCTCAGCCGGCTCCGGAAGAACTCTTCCACCTTCTTCCAGGCGAGCACCTCGGCGCAGGCGTGGGCTTGGGGCTCGCCCCCCCACATGACGACTGTGCGCAGGAACCCGTGCAGACCCGAGCGGCAGTAGGGCCCATAGGGCGGCTCCAGCAGGTGCCCGGCCCGTGGGTAGCACACCATCTCCACGTTCTCCTTCCCGGCCCGCCTGAGTCCATCCAAAAGAAAATGAGCAGACTTTCGTCAATACAAAAAGTCGAAATTTTATAAGAATTAAGTTTTTTTTTTGGGTTGAGGAAAAAAGCTTGGATCTTCTGAGAATGAAGTTGAGTTTTTTTAATGTCAGAATCTTAAGAGACTTAAGTAATATTTCTTGACAAAAAAAGTTGCAATATTATAAGAAAAAAATGTTTTCCCCCCCCATAAGAAAAATGTCATGAGGATAATGTCGAAATGTTATGAAGTTTGCACTGGAAAGTCCTCTTTTTGGAAGAATTCTATTTTTTTTTTTTTTTAAAGTCACAAAGGTGCATTTTTCACACACACAAAAAAGCCCAAATCATGCAAGAATAAAGTCGTATATTTGCTGAGATAAAAAGTCAAAATCTTGTCAGACTATAGTTGTATCTTTGAGAACCAATCTTTTTTTTTAGTTGAACTTTGGCAAGAATAAATTCGAAACATGTTTTTCATAAAACATCAAATGAGTCAAATTAAATGATTAACTGTATTTTATTAAACAGTGGTGTGATTAATTATGTAAACCAGGGGTCCTCAACCACCGGTCCACGGACCGGTACCCACCTGTACCGGGCCGCACAGAGACAGACCAAGATCTTTTTTTAGGTACCGGTATGTTTTTGGTGGGTGTCAGTCAAACACACAACCACCCTCCAACACCACCAAGCCCGTCGATTACCTTCCAAAGGGCAATATAAATAGGCCTGGGTGATTAAATGATCGAGATTTGTGATATTACGTGACCAGCAGCAAGCTGTGAGCATATTGACGCCATTACGGCCATTTACGTCGGAAATGTGTGCGACTCTAGTTAAGCTGAGTCCCCATTCTAACAATGCAAGTTGAAATAAACGGAATCCGCCAATAAATAAAAGAAGCAGTACATAGAAAGTAAAAGTAACAAATTGACGAAACGTACATCTAAAGGTGCAGCTGATGGGCAGCTATGACTCCCCAAGATGAAGCTACTGGTATTTTGACAAGACAAGTTCTTCCCCAGAGCCTTAGACGATCTACTCACCAGAGTTGTGCTGCCATGCTTTCCATGGAGGCCCGGCAGTCACAGTTGAGGTCGTCCTCGGAAGCCAGGAAGAGGAAGTCGGCAGTGGCTTTCTCTATGGGGACCCGGCTGGTCCGGTTCTCTTCACTGTTGGGGTCGGTAACACCAAACTTGATGATGCTGGCACCGTCGGCAGCGGGTATGATCTTGGTCAAGTCCAAGGTCACGGGGGAGAGGACCTCTCGACCCCGGTAGTGCAGAGGCGCTCCCATGTTACCGCTGCAGGCGTTAATCCAGACCACCGCACGGACACCCGGCACGAAGGATGCCAGGGACAAGGCGATGTCGCCCGCTTTGGAACGCCCGATCACGCCCAATCCGTCACCGCCCACCTAAGAAGAACAACAACTGCCCATGTGACACCGAATACTCATACCCGACAATTATTTTTTTGGGCCCATATAGATTCTGATATTTGTCAGAATACTCTGAAATAAATTCAGATAACGATTAATTGGCCTATGAATTATTTAAAATTTTAAATGTTTTTTTTTGGGGGGTGGGGGTTTGAACATCATTACTTTTGTCCGCATCCCTAGTTTTAAATTAAGCTTTTGTTAGTGTTTCGAACAAAGATGAGGGATTTAAAACTGGGTTAGGGTTTCAAACTCAGATTGGGACAAGGTGGAAATCTCTTCCATTCCCACTGCAGTCGTCACCTTGGGTTGCTGCTGCAAGAAGACCAGAGCCTCCTGGTAGTGGTCCAGCTCCAGATAGTTGATCTTGGCAGGCTTGTCGTACATGACGGACACGTTCAGGACCACAAAGCCTTTGTTGGCCAAAAGGCTGGCTCGTTTCTCTGAAGCAAAGGAGGACAAATCCAGCACGCCAGGGAACGGACCCTCGCCTGCCGTGGTTGCAACGAAACAAAGCACAGTCAGCACTGGAGTTAGGCCATCAAGCATTGGCTGAGGTATCAAAGTAAGGTGAGGGTTACAAATAGGGGTTTCATGACTGCGTTAGCTGCAAATGGCTGGGTTCAGTTCAGGATGACTGGGTTAGGTTTTCACAGTTATCTGAAACATTTATCATTGTCTCAAGTTAAAGCGGGCTTTCAAATGAGTGTTTTAAAACAGGGTTGAAAGTTTTGTTTAGCGTTTCAACTTGATTTTTCAAATTCAGTTTTAAAGGTAGATTTAGCATTTGCAGCCTAGGTCAGAGTTACCAAATAAGTTCAAGGTTTCTAAGTATAGTTTCAATTTGGGGTTTGAAGCCAAGGTTCGAGTTTCAAACTGGAGTTAGGGTTTCAAAATAAGGTTGCAGGGTAAGATTATTTGAAATTAGGGATTCAAATTAGAGATAAAAAAATGGCTTAGGGCTTCAAATTAGTTTCAAACGCCGGGTAGTGCTTGCAAGTAGGTTTAAGGTTTCTAAGTATGGTTTCAAGCTACAGTTAGGGATTGAAACTGAGGTTGGAGTTTGAGGTCAAAGTTGTGAAATAGGACTGTTGTTTCAGATTAGGGCTTTAAATGAAGGTTTCAATACAAGGTTAGGGTTTCAAATTTGGATTTTAAAGGGCTTCCAAATTGACTTTTCAAATGAGGGGTCGGGTTTCAAATTAGTGTTTCAAGCGAGGGTGAGAGTTCCGAAGCAGGTCTTTAAGCATTGTGAGGGGTTTAAATGACACCTGATTCAAACCTGGTGGTGTGAACAGCACTCCGTTCCCCTTCCCGAAGTTGACAACCTCCCTGACGACGCCTTCCCCCAGCAGGACCCTCTCGTTGATGACCTCCGCGAGGGCACCTCCATGTTCTTTCTCCTCCACGTCCATACCATCGTGCACCGAGAACCTGACCAGGTGGGGACTCAGCGCCTTACTCCAATGGAAGTATTTGTGTGGGACGATGGGCCGCATGGACCACAGTAAGCCCATAGGCTCCACCCCCTCGTAGGAACCGCACAGGGCGGCATCCCGGCAGAGGTCCAGCTCCCCGTCACCATCTGCTCTGTAGACAGCCGCCGAGCGGAAGACCACCCCCCGCTCGTCGGTGGCCTGGGCCCTCAGAGTGACCACTTGTCTGGACCCTAGACCGGCCACCTTCACGTGAACGGGCTCATCGAAAAGGCAGCGGGCTCTTGGGAGAAGACTGAGGCGCACTTGAGGCAACATGCCCACCCTGAAGGGAACCATGAGAGGAGGCATCAACCATAACTGTGGCGAATCAAATATTTTTAGACTCGCCTGTTGTTCAATTTTTCTTTTTATTTATCTTTTTTGCTTTCTTTTCATGACTTCATTTCACTTTGTGAGGTGATGAATTTTGTGTTCGTGCTTTAATGACTTTTCTTGTTGAAATCCATCAGGCTTGTCATAACGGGCGTAGACTTGATAAGATCCAACTTCGCCCTACACTTTTTCGGTTTGCTTGTTTTCCTGTAAAATATGTAATCACACTTTTTTGTTTTTCATTTTGAGTTAAGCTGATTGAATCAATCAATTAATTAATATTACAGACAGGGAGTACAGTTTCATTACCTCTTGTTGTATATTGTGCAAAAAGATTACTTCTACGAATAATTATTATTACAATAATAATGAGTACGTTACTTGTTAATTTAATGAGAGACAGACAGGTGGATTTAAGAAAAAAGAGATTCATAAAAACAAATATAAAAAAAAAAACAGGCGAGTGACAACATTGCATGATCTGAAGAGGCCTGTCAAGTCGGATAAGATAGCAAAGTTGCAAACGATTACGCTGACATGAAATGACCCTCCAAAGTTTAGTAAAGTAGAGGACGATCCTAGCGACCCGAATCGCTCGTTCCTGTCATTTGTGCAAAACTAAATAGTTTGCACCAGGTTTCACAAAGTGTCTGATTGCATGATTTTACATGACAAAAATAAAATAAAATAGAAACTGCAATAGTTGCGGGCACGTATTATAAACTTGTCATGAAGCACGAAAGTTTGGTGACTTCGTTAAAAGCGTCCCCAGGTGTCGTGACTCGTTGAAGGTCATTAGTCACTAACTCATTCATCTGCAATATTTTATTTGTACCAGTTTTATGTGCAAGATTAACGGTAAAATTTTGTTTAGCTCACCCATAAGAAGGAAATCTCAGCGACAAGGTGGAGGGGGGGTAAAAAACTGGTCACGCATGCGCACATCAAACGAACCTGATAGTGATGTGTCGTTCGCGAACGAGCCGGCTCTTGGAGCCGGCTCTTTGAAGTGAACGACATGAGCCGGCTCCTAAGAGGGAGCCGCTTTAATGGGAGCCGACTTTTTTTTTTCCTCCTGCTTTTCCCGCTGCCCAACAAGTAGTGATGTGTCGTTCGCGAACGAGCCGGCTCTTGGAGCCGGCTCTTTGAAGTGAACGACATGAGCCGGCTCCTAAGAGGGAGCCGCTTTAATGGGAGCCGACTTTTTTTTTTCCTCCTGCTTTTCCCCCCTTTCGGTTAAAGCCGCACGTGATTAGTCAAGATCCGTGGTAGAAGATGGAGGAGAGGGTTACACACGCACGCACACGCACACGCACGCACACACACACACATACAGAGAAAAAAACTACACGGTGGAAAGTGGAAAGGTGAGAAAATGGATAGGCAACGCAGTGAAATTTGGACCGATTTCAACTGAATTGATAGTTCAAAGGCAGCGTGTAGACTGTGCAAGGTTTCTAACAATGCAAGTTGAAATCAACGGAATCCGCCAATAAATAAAAGAAGCAGTACATAGAAAGTAAAAGTAACAAATTGATGAAACGTACATCTAAAGGCGCAGCTGATGGGCAGCTATGACTCCCCAAGATGAAGCTACTGGTATTTTGACAAGACAAGTTCTTCCCCAGAGCCTTAGACGATCTACTCACCAGAGTTGTGCTGCCATGCTTTCCATGGAGGCCCGGCAGTCACAGTTGAGGTCGTCCTCGGAAGCCAGGAAGAGGAAGTCGGCAGTGGCTTTCTCTATGGGGACCCGGCTGGTCCGGTTCTCTTCACTGTTGGGGTCGGTAACACCAAACTTGATGATGCTGGCACCGTCGGCAGCGGGTATGATCTTGGTCAAGTCCAAGGTCACGGGGGAGAGGACCTCTCGACCCCGGTAGTGCAGAGGCGCTCCCATGTTTCCGCTGCAGGCGTTGATCCAGACCACCGCACGGACACCCGGCACGAAGGATGCCAGGGACAAGGCGATGTCGCCCGCTTTGGAACGCCCGATCACGCCCAATCCGTCACCGCCCACCTAAGAAGAACAACAACTGCCCATGTGACACCGAATACTCATACCCGACAATTATTTTTTTGGGCCCATATAGATTCTGATATTTGTCAGAATACTCTGAAATAAATTCAGATAACGATTAATTGGCCTATGAATTATTTAAAATTTTAAATGTTTTTTTTTGGGGGGTGGGGGTTTGAACATCATTACTTTTGTCCGCATCCCTAGTTTTAAATTAAGCTTTTGTTAGTGTTTCGAACAAAGATGAGGGATTTAAAACTGGGTTAGGGTTTCAAACTCAGATTGGGACAAGGTGGAAATCTCTTCCATTCCCACTGCAGTCGTCACCTTGGGTTGCTGCTGCAAGAAGACCAGAGCCTCCTGGTAGTGGTCCAGCTCCAGATAGTTGATCTTGGCAGGCTTGTCGTACATGACGGACACGTTCAGGACCACAAAGCCTTTGTTGGCCAAAAGGCTGGCTCGTTTCTCTGAAGCAAAGGAGGACAAATCCAGCACGCCAGGGAACGGACCCTCGCCTGCCGTGGTTGCAACGAAACAAAGCACAGTCAGCACTGGAGTTAGGCCATCAAGCATTGGCTGAGGTATCAAAGTAAGGTGAGGGTTACAAATAGGGGTTTCATAACTGCGTTAGCCGTGATTGGCTGGCAATCAGTTCAGGGTGTACCCTGCCCACTGCCCTCAGTCAGCTGGGATAGTCTCCATCACGCCCCCGATCTTTATAAGGATAAGTGGATCCAAAAATGGATGGATGAATGGATGACTGGGTTAGGTTTTCACAGTTATCTTAAGAATTTATCATTGTCTCAAGTTAAAGTAGGGTTTCAAATAAGTGTTTTAAGACGGGGTTTAAGTTTTGGGTTAGGGTTAGCGTTTCAACTTGATTTTTCAAATGAAGGTTTCAAGGTAGATTTAGGGTTTGAAGCCTGAGTTTTATGTGCAAGATTAACGGTAAAATTTTGTTTAGCTCACCCATAAGAAGGAAATCTCAGCGACAAGGTGGAGGGGGGGTAAAAAACTGGTCACGCATGCGCACATCAAACGAACAGGGTTTCAAAATAAGGTTGCAGGGTAAGATTATTTTAAATTAGGGATTCAAATTAGAGATAAAAGGATGGTTTAGGGCTTCAAATTACAGTTTCAAACGCCAGGTAGTGTTCGCAAGTAGGTTTAAGGTTTCTAAGTATGGTTTCAAGCTACAGTTAGGGATTGAAACTGAGGTTGGAGTTTGAGGTCAAAGTTGTGAAATAGGACTGTTGTTTCAGATTAGGGCTTTAAATGAAGGTTTCAATCCAAGGTTAGGGTTTCAAATTTGGCCTTCAAATTAGGATTTTAGAGGGTTTCCAAATTGACTTTTCAAATGAGGGGTAGGGTTTCAAATTAGTGTTTCAAGACAGAGTTAAGCTTTCACACCAGGGTTAGGGTTCGTAAATTAGGGCTACAAGACTAGAGCTGGGTGAGGGCTTCAAGCATTGGTTAGTGTTTCAAGTGAGGGTGAGAGTTCCGAAGCAGGTCTTTAAGCATTGTGAGGGGTTTAAATGACACCTGATTCAAACCTGGTGGTGTAAACAGCACTCCGTTCCCCTTCCCGAAGTTGACAACCTCCCTGACGACGCCTTCCCCCAACAGGACCCTCTCGTTGATGACCTCCGCGAGGGCACCTCCATGTTCTTTCTCCTCCACGTCCATACCATCGTGCACCGAGAACCTGACCAGGTGGGGACTCAGCGCCTTACTCCAATGGAAGTATTTGTGTGGGACGATGGGCCGCATGGACCACAGTAAGCCCATAGGCTCCACCCCCTCGTAGGAACCGCACAGGGCGGCATCCCGGCAGAGGTCCAGCTCCCCGTCACCATCTGCTCTGTAGACAGCCGCCGAGCGGAAGACCACCCCCCGCTCGTCGGTGGCCTGGGCCCTCAGAGTGACCACTTGTCTGGACTCTAGACCGGCCACCTTCACGTGAACGGGCTCATCGAAAAGGCAGCGGGCTCTTGGGAGAAGACTGAGGCGCACTTGAGGCAACATGCCCACCTTGAAGGGAACCATGAGAGGAGGCATCAACCACAACTGTGGCGAATCAAATATTTTTAGACTCGCCTGTTGTTCGATTTTTCTTTTTATTTATCTTTTTTGCTTTCTTTTCATGACTTCATTTCACTCTGTGAGGTGATGAATTTTGTGTTTGCGCTTTAATTATTTTTCTTGTTGAAATCTGTCAGGCTTGTCATCACGGGCGTAGACTTGATAAGCTCCAACTTTGCCCCACACTTTTTCGGTTTGCTTGTTTTCCTGTAAAATTATGTAACCACTGTTTTTTGTTTTACTTTTTGAGTGAAGCTGATTGAATCAATCAATAAATCAATATTACATACAGGGTGTACAGTTTTATTACCTCTTGTTGTACATTGTGCGAAAAGATTACTTCTACGAATTATTATTATAACAATAATAATGAGTATGTTTCTTGTTCATTTAATGAGAGACAGACAGACAGGTAGATTTAAGAAAAAAGAGATTCATAAAAACAAATATAAAAAAACAGGCGAGTGACTACATTGCATGATATGAAGAGGCCTGTCAAGTCGGATAAGATAGCGAAGTTGCAATCGATTACGCCAGGGGTGTCAAACTCATTTCACATTATGGGCCACATACGGCCTCAGTAGATGTAAGTGGGCACCATTAAAAATTATACCATACTCTGCTATAAATAACCAAAATAATATGTCTTTCCTTTGTTTTGGTCTAAAGAAGCACAAGAACACTCGGAAAATGTTGAAATTGAATGAACATATCTTTTACAAAACATTTCATGAAGCACTTAAGATTTCCTTAGACAAATGTGCAATTTACTTTTATCATTCATATATATATGCATTGCAACTGATCCCACTGACTGTACAAAGGCACAAAACCTTAACAAGTAATTGCTATTGAAAAATATAGTAATGCACTTTTACGATTAAACGAGATTTATAAAGAAAGGAATTTTTAAACTATTTACACGAGCATATAAAATCTAAATGTAATCCCTGCCTACACCTTTCAAACTAAGGAGAGTGCTATAATATGTGTCAAGAATATAAAGTATTCACATCTCCTTGATAGCGTTGGGTCTGTCTCAGTGACAGACTGAGGCTGCTGTTGTCTTCTTCTCTGAACAAAATAATGTTGTCTTTTCCTCTGATCAAAACAGTGTGCCCCTAGCGGATATTCCATGAATTGCACCTTATTAAAAATATTCATTCAGTGTCTTTTATGCATTTTTTTCACTTTTAAATTATCCTGCGGGCCGTACGTTTGACACCCCTGGATTACGCTGACATGAAATGACCCTCCCAAATTTCGTAAACCAGAGGACAATCCTTGCGACCCGAATCGCTCGTTCCTGTCATTTGTGCTAAGCTAAATAGTTTTGCACCAGGTTTCACAAAGTGCGGGATTGCATTATTTTACATGACCAAAAAAAGAATTAGAAACTGCAATAGTTGCGGGCATGTATTATGAACTTGTCATGAAGGACGAAAGTTTGGTGACTTCGTTAAAAGCGTCCCCGGGTTAGAGGTAAGATTGGGGCTAAAAAATCCAGCCCGACCCGACCCAGCCCGCGGTTATTTAAGACCGACCCGGCCCGAGCCCGACCAATTAACTCGATTTGCAGGCCCGAGCCCGAAGCAAACCCGAAATTTCATATTTTATTTGTGAGGACTCCAGAGGAGGAGGGGTGATTTATGATAACAAACTAAAGCCTGTCTTTTGTCACGAAATCTAAGTTAAACAAGACTGTATGAACATTTACATCTTTTATATTTCCGTTTCTGTAAAGGGGACATGAACCAGCGCACTGTAATGTTGGTACCTCAACATCACAGTGAGTTGTGTGTTTAATCACGGTGTTTCTTTCACATCATGGCCCACGCTACTAACTCTGACACTGACAGGGCATTACACACTCATCCAGACATCTACAAACAAGTTTGAACACTTTTCTTTATGAAAAAGTCATGGCCTGCAATTTTTAGTTCAGTTTATCCCACAGTATTTTATTTATTTAAAAAAAAAAAAAAAAAAGTCAGCGAGAGAGAAGCCCAGCCCGACCCGACCCGAAAAATTCGGGTCGGGTCGGGTCGGGCTTGGGCCGCCCGATCTTACCTCTACCCCGGGTGTCGTGACTCGTTGAAGGTCAGTATTCACGAACTCATTTATCTGCAATATTTTATTTGTGCCAGTTTTATGTGCAAGATTAACGGTAAAATTTTGTTTGGCTCACCCACAAGAAGGAACTCTCAGCTACCGGGTGGAGGGGGGGAAAAAACTGGTCACGCATGCGCACATCAAACGTACCTGAAGAGAGAGCTTTGTACGAGGTTAGCCCAAAGCTAAAAAAAAATAACGGATTCGCCGTCAGCCCCTCCACTTAAAGGGGAAGCCATAGCCAACATTTTCCGAACACTCATATGTTCGAGGTGCCCCTACTCCGAGTCTTAACACAGCATTTTGATAAAAATTGTGTTTCTGGAATGTGAAATATGCAGCAAAATACAGCCGTTCTCATCCATTTCAGGTTTGGTCAGCTTATGTTCGTAAGCGGGGTGGCACGTTGGGCAAAAGGTTTATTACGTCCGCCTCACAGTGCAGAGGTGCAGGGTTCGATTCGGGGTCTGGCCTTCCTGTGTGGAGTTTGCATTTTCTCCCCATGCCTGCGTGGGTTTTCTCCGGGTACTCCGGTTTCCTCCCACATTCCAAAAATGTGCATGACAGGTTAATTGAACACTCTAAATTGTCCCTAGGTGTGATTGTGAGTGCAGATTGTTGTTCATATATGTGTGCCCTGTGATTGGCTCGCAACCAGTTCAAGGTACCCCCGGCCTACGGCCCAAAGACAGCTCACTGTGACCCGTGTGAGGATAAGGGGATCAGAAAATGGATGGATGGAATATACCATTGATCTGAATGTATGTGCACAAAGAACGCCAAACTCCACACAATAACCAGGTGTTAAAACGCCGTTTTATTGGTGAATAAAGTTTGGTGGAATCCATAATGTTTTGTTTCAGGTGGGTCAACACACTCAGAATATAGGCAAAGTTAGCTTTTCTTTCAAGAATCGACCGTCTCGCGCTTTGTGTTTTATTTACTTGACTACAAGTAGTTATACGTGCCATCCAATAGGTGGTGGTATTTTAAACAAGTAAATTCAAACAAGAAAAAGACAACCAACCGAAGAACAGAGAGTAGAAATTAATAAACTTAAATTTCTTCGTGAATAAGCATGCAGCGTATTGCGCGTATTAACATCTAATTTGTAAGCAGTTAAAATAGATACATAGAAAACGTGTGCATATTACTTTAAAAACAGCTGTCAATAACGGCATCATCACATAACTTTCGCGGTTCTTGGACTACAAATCAACGTCACTTCCTTGACTACGACATTTCGGTAGGTCCAAAAGGGCGAAACAGCTGTGTTGTCGTCCTATTGGCTCTAATATTTACGTCTGTCGCAAGTTTGGTCATTACATAGTAACACTGGACTACAGTATTTGATTTATTATGAGAGTCGTTATTGGTATGTAAGCTCCCCCAACTTTTTAAAGTTTTATTCGACGAAGGAAACGTCAATGTGACACAATTGTCCTTGCTAGTTGTTAGCATTCTCACAGTTTTTCAGCAATTTTCTGTCCTGCCTATATGCAACCATACAGATGCTAATGAACACTACTAAAGTTTTATTATGATGGCGTGTCTCTGTCTTTTGCAAAAGTTGAATTACGTGTAATAGTTTGTTTTGTAACCATCTGTATGTTGTATGACAATCGTTTGCTTGCATTGCCTACAGGGACATTCTGAAATGGCAGCTTTCTTCACAATGTTTAGTGAAATAGTCTTTCCATCTAATGTATGTCGTGGTGCTTTCAGGGACAGTCCAACATCATACCTCACTCAATTCCTAATGTTTACTGTACTTCTAAAACATCTACCCAAATCCCACACCCGTCCAATTGACTTCCTTGCAGGGGGAGGTTCTGGCTTTGTGGGTCGTGAGTTGACTCGCCTACTCCGGGACAAAAACCATGAGGTTACAGTGATCTCCCGCCATCCCGGCCCCGGGAGGATAACATGGGTAGTTGATCTCGATGTGATGTGTCACATTTCATCTGTATTTGAATGCATCACGACCCTGTTCTTCCTTCTTGCTTCTGCTAGGGTGAGTTGGAGTCATCCGGCCTCCCACCATGTGAGGGCGCTGTCAATTTAGCAGGGGAGAATCTCATGAACCCACTGCGATGGTGAGCATCACCATTACTCTTCTAATATGCAACCATCTATTGTACCTGAAATGGGAGAGAGGAGAACAGTTGCACAATAGAAATAAATAGAATGGCTAGAAATGCAGTGAGTCAAAAAGATGTCTGCAGCGCACACGGGTACACATGCGTGTCAAAACAATTACTCCTCTTGACAATTTGTCATAACAGTCACCTTGAACAGTAGAAATCAAGATCTTCTACACATTCATGCAATGCTTATATGATCAATATGATCGCTCCTCTGGCCTGTTCTACATGGTACAACCCCAAGGTGTCTGAATAGAAATAATCGCGATATCTAAAAACATTCCACGAAGTACAAAAAATAAAATAAAATCCATCCATCGGATACTTTGTAATATGCACAAATTTGTACGTGTCATGATAATAGGTGTGATCCCTCCCCAACAGTCAATCATGACAACCGCCCCCTGGCACAACAGAAATAAACAGAACAACCACGAATAATCCACAAAACTGAAGGGGAAAAAAAAAAGACACACTTGGTCCCAAATTCACTCAGGCATAAGTGTCATGATTAATGAGATGACAGGTATTCATGATAACCACCACTTTACATGATAGAAATAAACAAAAGAACTACAAATAATTCACAAAGTGGGGGAAAAAAGGCAAAACTAGAAATAATCCCCTGAGAGATAAAAAGACAATGGAACATGCGCAGGCAATCTTTGTGTTAGTATTAATGCAATCATTTCTATTTCCGGTTATTCACATTAACTGCCACCTTGCACATTATAAATAAAAAGAACATCAAGAAATAATCCACAAAATATACAATCCAACGCAATCAAGAATTGGCAATTCTTTATGTTTCAGGTGGAACGAAGGCTACAAGAAGGATTTGTTTTCCAGTCGCATCGACACCACAAAAGCTCTGGCTGACGCTATCGCAGCTTCGCCGAATCCTCCCCGCTCATGGGTCCTAGTGTCAGGCGTAGGTTAGTAATTTGTCATATAGTTTGTTGCTAATTGGAAGCTAGAGTAGCCACTGTTTTGTTTGCAAATGCTAGCAAGTAGCAATTGTTCTATGACTGCAGCATGCTACAAACCCAGCCTGACAGCCGAGTACACTGAGGACAGCCAGTGGGCGCCATTCGATTTCCTCTCTAGGCTGGTGAAAGAGTGGGAAGCCGCTGCACTGCTGCCAGAAAGTATGACAAAGACCACGAAGCAAGTGGTAGTCAGACCTGGTATGTAGGAAATTACATTTCGTGATACATGTTTAATTGTGGGTGTTATTTCACACATATGCCTGCAAGGGGAAAAGGGAAAAATTACATTGATCTTGAAATGAGTGCGAAGCCTCAGTTTGAGTTTCACTTTTAAAATCTATTCATTGTATACTATTAATTTGTGTGATCGTTGGGTCTATTTTCAGTTTTGTTTTAAATATGTAATTTCCCAAAGTGATTACATGATTATATTTTGTGGGAAAATATTTTCTATTCCTCATGAAATTTTTTTGCATGCAATAATAATGGTAAAAAATTGGCATTTTACAGATGATAATTCCTAAATATTTTAGTATTTTTTTAAAACTATTTCACCATTATTCTTCAGATCTATGTTTTGAAATGAGTATATTTAAATGAGGTTTTACAGATTTACATTTTAGAAAATTTTACTGGTGAAATATTTTTAAAATATATTTAGTCTAAAAAAACATTGCTCGATAAAGACTTGCTTGAAAAATCACCTGAAACTTATCTATTGTGAAATTAAATGCACTGTAATCCTTGATAGTTTGTTATTTTACTGATGATACATCCTAAAAAAATTACATTTACACTTTTAGTCGAGACAGCATTTAATTCACTGCAATTATTGTAATATTGTGCTTTCACTTATAAATCCTATTTCTTTTGTTATGGTAGTGTTAAAAATAACATTTGCAACAATCATGACTTCTTTTTTAATCATAAATTCTGATGCACATCAATTTTTCAGTCGCTTTTGAGACATAACCTGTTGCTTGGTCGTCCCTTTCCCAGGGGCAGTGTTAGGCCGTGACGGCGGTGCCATGAAGCAGATGCTGCTTCCCTTCTGGCTGGGCCTGGGGGGCACCTTGGGCTCTGGCCGGCAGCCCTTCCCGTGGATCCATGTCACAGATCTGGCTGGCATCATCGCCCAATCCTTGGACCCTCCCTCCCCCTCTGATGTGCCACCTTCTTCGGATCCCCCTTATAGTGTACCGCCCTCCTCCCGCCAAGTCCTCAATGGGGTGTCCCCCGCCCTCAACACCAACTATGAGTTCACCAAGGAGCTGGGTAGGGTGCTGAATCGCCCCACCATCTTACCCGTGCCCGCCTTCGTGCTCAACACCCTGTTGGGCTCGGAGAGAGCCGTAGTACTGGCTCAGGGCCAGAAGGTAGTACCCAAAAGGACTTTGGAGACTGGGTTCCAGTACAAGTTCCCAGACTTGGCGTCAGCCCTCAAAGAAATTGCCAACAGTTAAACAAAAACTTACACTAAAAAAAAGAACTGCTGTTGCTCCTCTACTGTAAAACAGCATTTTACATTGTGTTCATACTATATAAAAGGAAACCAAAAAGAAATATTTAGAACTGTATTATTTATCGCTGTCTCATAAGCAACATAAGTTATGCTAACTTGGGTGGTGAGTGGGCAGTTTAATGCTAAATTTAATCATAAATGAGCGGTTCATTAAGGATAATCATGAGTTGTAGGGAGCAGCTAACTTCCTTGGTGTGAGTTATGAGTTTATTATGTGGTGAAGAAATAAAGCAATGGTAATTTTATTCACAACTTGTACCTCAATGTTTTTACAAGCATGTTAGCATTTCGTCGGTTCCCCATTCTTGTCGTCTTCAGTTTGGTTGTCGTCGTCCGGAACAAGAGGAAGCCTGTCACCCCATTCACTGTTACGGGCGCAGCGGTACACATCTCTAAATGGACAAAAAATAAAATAGCTTCTTCAGGAAAGGCTCCGTATATTTATTAGAACACTAATAATGCCCAGGAAGCCAACATAAAAACTGTTTAGTTACTCTGACCTTATGTCTTACATTTGTTTGGTATTATACTGGCCCCTATAGCACACACTAAAGATGTTAGCATTCAACTTACAACTTATGCTAAGGAAGTTATATGCTGCTCTTGTAATGACTCATGCTAATAAAATTAGCAGTGCACTCCAGTACTTATTTCGCATTCAACTGCAAAGTTTGTTAGCCATCAACCTCCTTAGCTAGGGGCTCACTCACCGTCCGTGTTTGCTGGCAGTCACCACCACGTGCTCCAGTTGTCCATCTGGACGACACAAATGGCAGTGCACGTGCCTCGTCCTGGCTTTTGGGGGCGCTATCAGTCTGGACCAGTCCACGACAGCACCTTCCGATTGGGGGTGGTGCCGCTCTCGGGTCATAATCAGATAGCTGAACCTCTCCGTAAGACTGTTGCGCTAAAACAAAGAAATGTAAAAATGAGTGTGTTGTAAATGAGCAGTTTAATGTTAACTGCCTTAGCATGTGTTATACTGTACATCAACATTTAAATACTTACGCCGTATAGTGGCATGTACACCTGCTGGAAGTTGCAAGGCATGATGGACGGCAGTGCAAGTTTGGGACAGCTGGCTTCATGAGGACACTAAAAAAAAAAAAAAAAACTGACCAAAAAAACATGTATGATACAATTACATCAATAATTATAAATGATCTAAATAAATACCGGCGCAAACACAGAAGCTGGTCTGGTGTCGTGGACGATTTCGTCTTTGTTCTGTAGTATAGAGTCTCGGGCATCCATTAGTATTTGATGGCCCTCTTTGGTTCCGTTTTCCACCAATAACTGAAACATAAACAGTCTGCAATATTTTATTTCATGTTATTCGACTAAATTCTAGTCTGTGCTACGCACCAAGTAGGAGGCGGTCTTCCTCCACAACGTGATTACCGCCTCTTCACGCTCCTTCGCGCCGGGAATTTCTGACAACGTGAAGGCCGACGCCACCAAGTCAAACTGCACCTGAGAAAACGAAAATGTCCAGCTGCGTTCAGAAAAAAAATGCTTCCTTCTCCACCGAAGTCAGGAAGGTGCCAAAAATGTTTCATTTCCAACCTAAGTCATGAAGGTACCAAAAGTTAACTGCTAGACTACATCATGAAAGTTACCAAAATGGTTCTCCGCTTGGCTATGTTGTTCAGGTAGCAAAATTGTTTCCTAATCCAGTTACTTTCAGTAACAAAAGTACAAAATGGATCCCTGAATATGTCTAGAAGGTACCAAAATAGTTCCTTGCTTTGCCATGTCATTCAGAAACCAAATTGTTGCAGCTAAGACATGAAGGTGCCTAAAGCGGTTCCTTGGCCAGCTCAGGCAACTGAACATAAAATGCTTCCTTGTCTGTCTAGGATATAATTGTACCTAGAATATCCCATTATTTGGCTATGTCATGAAAGTTAGCAAAACGGTTTCCTTCCTGGCGGAGTCATGAAAGTTACCAACATGATTCCATTGCTGGGCTACAATGTGAAAATTAACAAAATAGTTCCCCACTTGCTGACAAAATCAAGGTACCAAAATAACTTCCTGCCTTGCAACATCATGAAATTAACCAAAACAATGACCTACTTTGCTACATAATAAAGGTACCAAAAAATGGGTCCTGGACTGGATCTTACCTTGGGAGATATGGGGAGGAACTGCCTGAAGTAAACATGCTTGATGTGAGCTTCATTGTGTTCATCATCACCTTCACAACCACAGCAAAAAGGCAATCAGTTGAACCCAATTTTATGACAGCTTTAATTATTATTTTAATTTGTGACCTGAGCGAGCCTGTACCTTTAAGAAGCCGTTCTGCCAAAATGTTCATGGACCCTGAGATGTCCACACACACCAACTCATTCAAAGTGGCGGACCAGAAAGCATGAGACGCCCTGGGGAATTAGAACAACAGATTTGGGTCCAAGAAATAATTGGCCCCATTAGCAAATGTGTTTCCATTGAACTGAATAAGACACCCCAGCTGAACTGAAGGAATAATAAATAGAAATGGATCCAGTTTCTAATGAACTCACAATGCAAATACAAAAAGAATCTCGTCCCATTTGTCTTGATTTGCTTTTAAATCCACCGAATGCCTCAAAGACAACTTAAGTGCCTTTGTGAATGAATTTTTCGGATCCGCTACCGAACTGCATCCAGTTTCAATTTCATACAAAAACACCTTCAAGTCCACTTACCAGGCCACCGTTCCTAGCCCGGACCCAAAATCCAGGAGGGACCGAGGAGCAAAGGTGGGATCGCGTTTCTTTATCTGAAAGCAGAATAACAAAAATATTTAATATATTAATTCCGAATTCTTGCTACAGCAATTTGTAATGGACCTCGTTGAGAGCCCTCTTCACTGCAGCGTAGCCTCCGGCCAGCTTGGCCACCATGTAGACCATGCCGAGTTCCTCGTCATACCTCGAAAAAAATGTGACAAATTTGTAAATTAGAATACATTCCAAAAATCCATGTTTTGTACCTCCATAATAATATAATAGTGATGTGTTCAATTACTTCAAAGGAGTCCAGTGATAAAATGTCCGCCGAAGCTCCGACAAAACGTCCCTCTTGATGCGGTCAGCCACCGCTTGCTCATCTAAGTCTACAAAGAGAAAAGAAGACAAAAACATGAATGTTCATATATTGTTGACTATTCATATCATATATGCGTACCCACCTCCTCCTTTCTCCATGGCCTTCTTCCAGAGTTCCTTCTCCAGACTTACGGCCTTCTTCCTCACTGTTGAATCCTCTGCAGCTCGCTTCCTGCTCCACAGGAAGTTAGTTAGCTTGCGAGCACGTTCGGGAAGCTGGATCACCTGAGACCCTAAGAAATTATATCACATAATATCATCACAAATAATAAAAGATGCAGGTTTCTCGCTGTTTAAGTAACTAAATGGTACCTTGCCAAGGAAAGTTAGGAAACTGCCAAGTGTGGCTCCATTTCCTCTCCAAATCAGTACAATGATATCCTAAGTTATCGAATTGGTTCCTTTCTGAGCCATGTCATGAAGGTAAATGGTAAAAAATGGTTCTCTGTCTGATTAGTTAATTAAGGCACTCAAAACGATTAATTGTCCATCAGAATCATTAAGGTTCCATAAATGGTTCTACGACTGCATTAGTTGTTAGGATACTAACTATGGTTTCTTGTCCAAATATGTCATCATGGTAGCAAAAATGTTTTTTGAACTCACTTTCAATGATAGAGCGGGCGGCCATCAGGAGTTCATCGGGTAGGCGCAGCGTTTTGAGGTGCGTCACCCCTGGATGTCGTTTGTGTGGCTCTTTATTGAGGAAATCTGCTTGGGACTGAGGGTTTGCGACTGCACTCAAGCACTGGGAAGAACGTTTAAACATCAAACTAGTAAACAGAAAATATACGACACTGTCGTGAGCCAGAATAAATATTGCTGTAATCGTGCGCTACTTATAAATGAAATGTATTATTAGACAAGATTCTGCCGGTGTACCCATAATGCGTTGCGGTAAATCCAGCGACACCGTGACATTGGTGAAATATTGGGGCAAAATGTACTTACTTGAGGCACACGTCAAGAAACGTAAACCAACACGTGTAACAGCTACAACAACTAGAATAAGTAAGGGATCAAATACACTACACGATTAAATTTGACAGTGGCCAAACTTTGCATTCAAAGATGCCGTAACTTCAATAACACTCGCGCCCCCCCAAAACACCTCACCCTGACCGCCGCTATCCTCCTCACAACGGTTGACCGATGGCAAAAGATGCAAGAAACGTAATTCCATGTTGCCATATTTCAGTCTTTCTTGTAGTTGTTTGTTATTAATTAAAACAAACGAGGGCGAAGGTGTCAATCAAATTTCGTGAAAGCACATTTCTTTTATCCGTCGACAAAATAATTCCGTGTGAGGACTGTTGTTCATCACATGTGGTTCCGGGTCTTAAATGGATAAGTGGGCTCACTCTGAGCCATCGTCTATGGTGCCAAACGTTATTAAACACTAAATTAATTATTTGCGTTTTTTATATGTTTACTCACAATTCGAATACGTCAAGAAACACGACCAATGCGCATGCGTTAAACGATGCCGGCTGACTGAGCAGGAAGTGGAAAGTTTCCCGCCCACTTTTTATTCAACGGTTTTTGTTTACACTGCGGCGCTGCGGAGCTAATTTTGTTATTCATAATAATCCATTTTATTAACCGTCATGAGGCGGTCAACAAGAAGTTCCAGAAGAAAAACTTTGCCTGAAAGTGAAGAAAGCCCATCTGAGAAAGGTGAGCGTTCGCTTGCTGTCACAACTTGACCGTAAAAGTGAAAGCACATGAACGCAGTGATTACACTTTCCCACGCTTGACTGCTGTTAATAAATTACAATAAATATTTTTTATCCGTTTCTGCTGTTGTGTTATATCGTGACTGTTTTACGTCGACGGAGCAACTTGTGTTATGTTGAACGTGTGTATTGTCCACACAATGTCCTGTAACTCGCTCCAAATGCAAGCAGGAATTCGGCTTGAGTGGAAGTACTCTTAATGATGTTTGTTATAATTATGACATTTGTGTTGACGTAATATTCAGAATATGGTGCGCCCCGCTATTTCAACAAGGTAGCGGAAATTGTTGTGTGCTTAGTACTGATAGCACTAAAGTTCCCTGTCCGGCTTTGTCATTACGCTGTGGTTATTTTGCCGTGATCAAAAACTCTCCTGCCAGCGTTATTTGCATAATTTGTCTTTGTAGTTCTCGTGCGATTCACTGTGGTGAACACAGCAAAATAACCAATGTGTTGTCATTCATGTACCTAAAATGTTTACCTACTCAGCTATGTTACGAAAGTACCAAAAGTCAGGCCACTTTAACCATTAAGGTACCGGTACCTAAAATGTTCTTTACCAAGCTAAATCATGAAGGTGCTTAAAATGGTTCCTTGACTGACCAAGCCATGAAGGTACCTAAAATAGTTCCTTGACTAGCTATGTCACAAAAGCACCAAAAGTGGGTTTCCTGGCCCATTGGTACCTAAAATGATTCCTTACAAAGCTAAATCATTATGGTGCCTGAAATAGTTCCTTTTCTGGTTATGTCATGAAGAGACCATACTTCGGTCCTTTCCTGGCCCTGGCATGACCACACTTAAAACGGTTCCCTGATATATTAGGCCTTTTTTATGGCTATGTCATACGTGTTTCCTTCCTTCGCTAAATCATTTTGAAACATACAATGATTCCTTGCCTGGATGATGTTTTCAAGGAACCTTAAATGAAAACCTTCCTTGCATAGTGATGTCATTGAGACACCAAAAATGGTTCCCTATGCAGCTAACTATGGTGTCCTGTGACGTGTCAGTTGTGTGGCAGTGGCAGGGTGACGAAGGCCAGTGGGAGGCCTACTCTCCAAACGACTGTGCCTTGCTGGACTCGGCCGTGGCCTCGGGGCAAACCCGCTTGTCCCTGACGTTGGGTTCAGGATTGGTCTACCAGCTGGATCTGAAGAAGATGGTCCAAATCAACTCCGTCACCAAATACAAGAGGAAGATCCGCTCAGAGATACTAAAAGCAGATGAGAGTGTGTTTGACATCCATCCATCCATTATCTGAACACCATTTATTTTATATTTGACACCTATAAAAATGAGTAGATGTCATTTTGTCAACCTGAAATTTGATTAGTTTCCTTTGACGCATTTAGGATTTCAAATTAGAGTTCAAAATGGGTTTTGGGGGGCGGGGGGGGGGGTGTTAACGTTACACAAAAGGGTTTGAAGCCAAGGTTAGTGTTTCAAATTTGAAGTTAAAACAAGGTTAAAACCAGGATTAGGGTTTCAAGCCTGGGTAAGTGTTCAAACAAATGGGAGGTTTTCAAATTAGAGTTCTAATCAAGAGTTAGGATTTGAATTATGGTTTCCAGGTGACCACTGACCTTGGGGTTTCAAATTAGTGTTCCAAAATAGGGTTTGAATCCAAAGTTAGGGTTTCAAATTCAGGTTTAAAACAAGGCTTTGAAGCTAAGGTGAGGGATCCAATTTGGGGTTTTCAACCAGGGTTTCAAGGGGGAGCTTGAAACATTCCCAAGAACTCTTAGTGTTTACGCCACATTTGCACAGATTACCCAAGAAACTCGTACCTGTTGATCTTTGAAGGGTCAAGGGGAAACCCTGAAAGTGTAAAACAGCATCACAATAATACAAACTAAATACTAAAAAGTACTACATACAGTATGTGAGGATTCAACTACTCACCTTGGTTCTTGTATGATGTTTCCAGCAGGTTCTGATGACACCGGGGGAGAGGCCAGTGCTCCCAACGGGGGTCCTGCGGAGGTTAAACAGGAAGCAGAGGAGAGCGAGGAGCAGCCGACCAAAGGCAAGAGGAAAAGAGGCAACAGCGCGAGCCAAGTCAGCAGAACAGACAAGAAACTCAAGGAAGAAACTCCCAGTGAAGGTGCGTAGGATTCGCACACCTGGCGTGCTTACATCGATAGACACAGCCACCGGGGCACTTTGAATGACTTTATTACACGTGAAGAAAATACACACGTAACATTTGACACCCGGAGGAACGCACCACGCAAACTGCTTCACACTAGATACAAAGTAATTACATATTAAGCTAATGCAACTGCGCGAATGGGCGCCAATTTGTGAAAGATTTGACAGCGGTTTCACCTCTTCAAACTGGATGCAAGTCAAACTTTGACCACCCCCCCCAAAAAAAAGAAAGAAAATACCTTAAAAACCTGATGTGCTAGAAAAAGAAAATTAAAAATCAATGTCAAAAATACATTTAGTCACGTAAAGACATCAGATCAAAATTTTCTGTTGACCATTATAATCCTCTATTTGTGCTTGTTAAATCAAGTTGTCTCAGTGTTTGAAACATAAATTTTGACCCGGTGACGTCTCAGAATTTTGGCCTGTATGAGCAGTTGGTGGATATTTTTTTTAACTGAAACTTGTCTGACAGTCAGATGGTTCCCCGAGTCAAAGACGAAACTAAAGGGTCAAGGAGAATATTGAGAAATAAAAAAGCTCTATTGTTTTACTCTATTTTGAAGTGTTTATTTTTTGGGCAGATTTTCTACAGGCGATGTCATACAAAAACATTCCCCTTGAGGGCCATTTTGTCCAGCACAAAAAAAACTAAATTTCTCTGGAACCCATCATCCGATTTTCAAAATTCTTGATTCATTGTGCTCCGGTTGGAGTGACCATTCCAAACAGCATTTTGACAGACAGTCATTTTTAGGAAATTTTGTCACGGTTGCTACTCACCCTCACAACTGGCGCGTGCATACCCAATCCAAGGTGTGTTTTGCTTCGTTCTTGTTCCAGAAGTTGTGAAGACAGTGGTCATGAAGGGAAAAGCTCCAGTGGACACGGAATGCCAAGCCAAGCTTGGAAAGGTACCGCTCCCATCTTGAAGAAAAGTGCCTACTTTTTACGCCGAGAAGGGTTTGGGATCCGGGTGACTGTGAGCAAGGGGCTCAGTTTCACTGTGTTTTTGTCTTTGTGGCAGGCTCACGTTTACAGCGAAGGAGGGGACATTTACGACGTGATGCTCAACCAAGTAAATTGCTTTTTGGCTTCATTAGAGGGTGAGGAGTTGCAGAAAGTAACAACGATTTATTTTGTTTCTGCAGACCAACCTTCAGTTCAATAACAACAAATATTACCTGATTCAGCTGCTTGAGGATGATGCGGCCAAGGTGTTCAGTGTGTGGATGAGGTGGGGCAGAGGTGGGTGCCTTGTGGTGCGCTCTGGGGTTTTTTTTTTTTTTTTGTTTTTTTTTAACAGACTTTTTGGTGTCACCCAGTGGGCAAAAAGGGCCAGTCTAGCCTGATGTCGTACGGTGGAGATCTGCTCAAGGCTAAAGATCTCTTCAAGAAGAAGTGAGACAAACGGCCGACAGTTCTCAGTGGATTTTATTTTATTTTTTTTAATTGTCATCTTTGTTTTTTTTTTTTTTGCCTTCAGGTTCTTGGAGAAGACAAAAAATGAGTGGGAGCACAGGGAAAGCTTTGAGAAGGTGCCAGGAAAGTACGACCTGGTCTACATGGACTATAGCACAAGTACAAAGGTGGATTTTTTTTCTCTCTTTTTTTAAGTTGGCCTTTAGATCACATATTTTCTATTTTCTCCCCTTTCACCATTTTTTAATTAATTTCCTCCATTCACATTCTTAATTTTTATTTAAAATGTATTTTTCCAGTTGTTCCCTTTGTCCCCCAATTTTTCCTGTTTCCCACGTTTTTTTAACATTGAAATATATTTTTTCTCCTGTTTGTTTTTTCTTTACATGTTGTCTTTGTTTCTCTGTATACCCTTTTCAAAGTTGTTCTTGTTCCCCCTCCATTTCTGGACCTTGAGGCTCATTTAACATTAGTCTCGTCATGCCCGTCGGGTCTTTCTGCCCGTTTTCTTCCTTTTGTGCAGGAGGAGAAGCAGACCTCCATGGTCGCCGAACCATCGAAGAAGATGTCCAAGCTGGACGTGAAGGTCCAGTCTCTGCTGGAACTCATCTGTGACATCAAAGCCATGGAGGAAGTGGTGCTGGAGATGAAGTTTGATACCCGCAAGGCTCCACTTGGTCAGTCCAAAACAATTGCATGTCCACACTTTAGGTACACTACATGATTAACGCAAGCAAGAAGCTGCTGCCCAGATATATGTCCGCCTACAGTATGTTGCATTTATTTTCTACTCATAGCTTGTACATATCGGTACACTGGTGCTCTTGTCATGCTCAGTCTCATTTTAAAAATAGTAAATGTTCTATTGTTGTCTATTGTAGGCAAACTAACCTTGGAGCAGATCAGCGCCGGCTACACGGCTCTCAAGAGGATCGAGGCGTGTCTGAAAAGGAAAAATGGTGGCAGCGAGCTGGTCGAAGCCTGCAATCAATTCTACACCCGCATCCCGCATGACTTTGGGTGCGGAGAATACATTTTTATTTTCCTAACATATCATCCCCTTTCTGAAATAATGGCCTCAGACATTTTTTTCTGAAAACATGAAAAAAGGGAACGAAATATTGATTACATTGATTCATAATCTCATTTCAGTGGTAGAATTGAATGATCAATTTCACGAAGGATGTAGCTGAATTTAGCAGAGGTGGCCAATATGTTTAAGGCAAAAAAAAAAAAGTCAAAATATGATTCAGATCATAATTTTAAGGTAACAATATTTATTTACCAGTATATCTTTTTTTAACTTTTATTCTTTGTCCCCCGCCAAGGCTAAAAACGCCGCCTCTAATTCGGACGGAAGACGAGCTGAAGAAGAAGATTGAATTGTTAGAGGTAACATGTTCACTTTGGTGTGTGATTAAATATGTCTTGAAGTGGACAGCGGTTCAATATTTGGAAAATTTGGATCCCCCTCAGAGTTACATTGAAGGAATGAAAGGTTTGATTCATTTGATCAACGGTCTTACAAGGGTTCAAAATATTTGCTCATTGTGTTCAAATTTAATGGAGAGGTGTTTCATTTCATCTATACAATGCCGTGAAAAAGTATTTGCCCCCTCCTGATTGTTTTTTCCCCATATCTATCACACAGAAAGCTTCCAAATCATCAAACCAAATCGCTCAGAGAAACCCAAGAAAATACAAAATGCAGTTTTCAAATGACAAATTAATTTATTGAGGCACAAAAAAAATTCCCCAAAAATCGAATACTTTTTCACAACACTGTATGATAATAAAAAGACAGTCCAAAATAAACAATATTAATAATAAACCTTGTAACCAGACAATGATAAAAGAATATAGTCAAACAAATACATGTAAAAACAAAAAATAATAATATCATTACTAACACAGTAGTTCACTGTGTTAGTGATGATAATAGCAATATGATGATGATATAATAATGAAAATACAGTGACCCACCCATGGTCACACTTAATGAAGATGAGTTCTTAAAATTAGCACAAAGCTCTTAAAAATCCCTTTTTAATGTGCCTGTCCAGGCCCTTAGTGACATCCAGATTGCGGTAAAAATGGTGGAGAGCAGCAGCGACGGCGACAACGAGCATCCTCTGGACCGCCACTACCGCTCCCTCAACTGCAAGCTAGACCCTCTGGACCCTCTTTGTGAAGAATACAAGGTTGTTTTTTTGAAGTTGGGCTGCCTTTCCATCAGCATGTCATTGATGTTTTTTTTTTTTTTTGTTTTGTTTTTAAATATGCAAAGGTGATCGAAAAGTACCTGCAATCCACGCACGCCTCCACGCACTGCGATTACACCATGAGTGTGATGGACATGTTCGCCGTGGACCGCGATGGCGAGAGCAGCCATTTCCTGTCGCACATTCACAACAGGTCTGGTTGGGATAGCGGGTGAAATAACCGATGGCCGTCTATCACTAAAAATGTTTTTTATTTGATTTTTTTATGCCAGGATGCTGCTGTGGCACGGGTCCCGTCTCTCCAACTGGGTGGGCATCCTCAGCCAGGGGCTCAGAGTGGCGCCCCCCGAAGCTCCCGTCACAGGTTACATGGTAGGAATAATGATGTTGTGAGTGCAGGCATCCGCCAAGAGTTTTGTGAAATTCATGGACGAACGATGACAAATCAAGGACAGGGGTGCCCTACTACGGTCGTCGAGAGCCCCTATGACCCCTATGATCCTGATCATTTGAATTTGGTGTGTTAGAGGAAGGAAACAGGCTGAATTGGGTCTCTCAAGGACTGGACTTGGGCACCTCTGATCTAAGATAGTGTTTCTCACAGTGTGGTAGGTGGGCAGGCGGCCCTCATGGTCGACTGGTTAGTGCGTCGGCCTCACATTGAAGTTGTTGTTGCAGTTTGGCAAAGGCATCTACTTTGCTGACATGTCGTCCAAGAGCGCCAACTACTGTTTTGCCAGGAACCACAACCAAGTGGGCCTGCTGCTGCTCTGCGAGGTAAAATGGACTGGCTTTGGCAACTGTCTTGTTTCCAGGTTTAAACGATTGGTCGCTGACGCATGTATGTGCAGGTCGCCCTGGGAGACAGTAACGAGATGCTGGACGCAGACTACAACGCCAACAACCTACCGGCTGGCAAACACAGCACCAAGGGCATTGGGCGGACTGGACCTGACCCTCAGAATTTTGTCACTCTGTGAGTACTTGTTCTCAAAGTCCAGGATCAATTTTACTCAAGAGCATTATTGTTGTTTTTAACTCAGCAAAAGCGATACTGTTCCTGGGTCAGTTTGACCCAGGTCATGTGTAACCGTCTTGTTAGGTTTGTTTCCTGAGAGTGTTTGACTTAACTTGAGTTGAGGAAACAGCATTTATGTTCCTGGGTCGATTTGATCCAGGGTATGTTTAACATTTCTGTTACGGTACTTTAGTTTCTTGGGCACATCAGCTATATTGTTGGGGTCAATTTGACTCAGAGCAATAGCAATTTTTGATTTGAGCAATAATGTTATATAATATAATAATTTAAGAATGTTTTGGGGTCAAATTGACCCAGGGTTCCTGAAAAATTGAGGCAACAAAAGTATTCATTCTTTAATTGATGTTTCTCAGGAATGGCGTGACGGTTCCCATGGGTCCCGGCGTCAAGACGACACAGAAGACAGCCGGGTGGTCTCGGGGCAATGCTTACTCGCTCCTGTACAACGAGTTCATCGTATACAACCCAGCGCAGACACGCATGCGCTACCTGCTGAGGGTCCACTTCAACTATGCGTCCCTGTGGTAACCTCAGCGCTTACGCGAACGTGTAAAAGTTACAATATTTTACTGCTTGCTCACATGCCTCACATGAAGGAATGTCGCAATAAATTCTACCATCAGTGTCCAAACTATCGTGCGAAAATCTGCATATGCATTTTAATTAACTCTAAGTACAAAATAAAGGTGGAAGACTTTTTAAAATCATTTATTTTGGTTTTATATACACAAATATTTGTTTATGCCACAAAAACCTTGCACAGAGGTGTGTAGACTTTTATTATGTAATACCTAACCCAGGCTTAAAACCCTAACTGGAAATCTTCACTCACGCTTGAAACCTTACTTTGAATTCCTAAACCAAGCTTGAAATCTTCCCTTGAAACCTGACCCCAAGTTTTCAACCCTAATCTAGACTTGAAACCTCAAAATCTACATTTGAATGCCTAACCATAGCTTCAAACCTTTACTTGAAATCCTACCCCTTTTGTAAAACACTGATCCAGACTGGAAACCCAATTTTAATACCCGTAAAACCTATCCAAAAAACCGAATCCAGGTTTAAAACCCTAACTTGACTCCCTAACCCAGGCATGACACCCATATTGAAAACCTAAGAATAGTTTGAAACCCTATCCAAGATTCATCTTTGAAATACTATGGCTGGCTTGAAGCCTTCCTTTGAAACCCTGACCCTAGTTTGAAACCGTAACACAGACTTGAAACTTTGGAACCCCTAACCTTGATGTAAAAAAAATAGAGTATAAAATGATGTATATGGTAAATTTGAACTCCAAAATGATATTTGAAGAGGCCATTTTGCATTGCTTAAGAACTGGACAGTTTTCATTCAGAGCCACAAAATGTCTGCTTGTAATGCGTTGACAAATGCTGTAATAACTGTTGAGAAGCAGGAAAAGAAGCAGAACGGAAGGTCGAGAGAAGGGGGAGTTGTGCAGGTTTCAGTGCTTCCCCATCAGGTAGATGAAGATGAGCATGATGTCCAGGTAGATAATGAGAGCCGCGCTGACGTACTCCTCGGGGTCCAGGCGATAGCTCAGCGCGCCCATCATTAGCTGGCAGTCGCACATCAGGAACTGAGGCAGGAAGACAACAGCAAGGAGGAACGATTCTTAGGTCCCGCTTCAAACCTGTCCTGTCTTGAAACCATCATTTGAAACCTGAAACCCTAACTCTAATCTGAAATCATGTTTTGACACCCAATCGCTGATTTCAAAGACTAAATTGTCACGCTAACCCAAGTCTAAAACCCTAAACCAGACTTGAAATCCTACTTTGAAAACTAAACCCCATTTCAAAAAAATAATCTGACACCCTCAACCTAGATTGAACCCCTACACCCAAACCCTACTTTTAAATCTTAACTCAGTCATGAAACCCTAACCCTAGTTTGAAAATATAACCCTAATTTGAATCCTTAATTTGAAAATCTAACCCAACATGAAATTTGAAGGAATTGAGCCTGCCTGAAGTTGTTGCATCATAACAGTTCCTCTCCTAAACCCTTGCATGAAATGGTCATCCAGGCTTGCAAAATACTTTGATACATGTCGAGGTGTCGTGTCGAGGCATTCCGGTTCTTACCAGAGAGTACACCAGGGCGCCTAAGCAGCCGTAGCAAACCTGAGGTATGTACGCGTAGTAGAAGCTGCTGAAAAATGCAAACATCAGCAAGTCCACCGCCAGGATGAGCAGCAGGCCGTAGCAGCAGGAGAAATCGTAGCGCGTCTGCGGAGTAATCACTGCCGTCAGAATGAGCTGTTCTTAGAAACAGGTATGTCCCGGGTCAAATCTGACCTGCGCCGAGAAGGCAATGATGGTGAGGGAGATGACCAAGGTGGTCGCCATGGTGATGATGACAGCGCGAGTGTCGTGGTAGGATGCCATGGTGCCCACCACGTACGACAGGCTCACTGTCACAATGGCCTGAAGACAGGTGAAAAAAAAAAAACAACTCTGAATCTGGCTTGACGCCTTCACTGTGATTTAAACCTTAACCTCGGCGTTAAACCCCAACCCCACTCTCAAGCAGAACCGCGCAGGATGACAGTGCTAAATGTCAATTTAGACAATAAAACAGAATAACAGGGTCTCTAAAGATGATCCCTGATGAACACCACAGCACTAAGTAGCACTATATATTCGGGGGTCACCCACCAGACCGATGATGTTCCAGGGGTGTTTGCGTCGGAGGGACTTGGCGCAGTTCAGAGCAATGCAGACCACGAGGAAGATGATGAAGGAGCTAACATAAACCCAAATGTTCCTCTGCACCGCCTTCTTCACCACACTCGAGAAGGTGAACACGCTCACCACGCTGAATGTGAACACCAGCTGCAGGGTCAGGATGCTGAACACCTACAGGGGGACACACCCATTAAATATTGTCAGGCTGTCCCGACAAATTTTCTGACATTTTGTCACGGGCGTTATTTTGGGCTAAACGTCTGGCACATCACCAACCTTGCGAACAAACGCTCTCCTGACTGTCTTGTCGTCGAAAGCCGACGTCTCTGCCAACGGGACTTCCTCAGACTGACCCTCCGCTTTCATTTCGGGGCAGGGCTGGTCACCCTCTGCCACGTTGCATTCCATTGTTTCACCTTTGGGTTCATCATGTTCCACTACTAAGTCTTGGGAGTAGGGCGGCGGATCTTGCTGTATCGGTTCTTCGTACGGAGGGGGCGATGGTTGAGCGGACACATCGGAACCCGAGGGCTCGAACGTTGTCTCCCCTAGATCTGACATTCTAGAGATTAAAACAGACAAAAAACATTGATTTGCACCTTTTGTCATTGTCCATTAAAAAAAATGTATGTGAGAATTTTGAACAAACGTACAGTATGCAATGTGGGCGTCAATTGTATGGAATATTCAAAAAATGAAGAATTTTTCGTGCTAATCGGCACGTTGATTTTCTCAACGAAAAAAAATTATTTGATTTCTAATTACCGGTACACTGAAAGACAGTGAGGATGTGACACATGGTTGGTCAAGCCTGGGTTGCATCATGTCGCCAGGTTACAAAAGATCCAAAAGTCCACTGAAAGCTTATACTTTTTACAGGCCATATGCTTAATTAAAGTCCATTTATACATTTATTTTTGACAGTTATATTTATTATTATCCTTCATATAAAACGAATACAGAGATGGAAAATGTTCAACAGCGTGTTGAAGGTAAAGACGCATTCAAACTCTCTGGGAAATGCCGTTTTGTCAGCAAAGTTAAATTAGAATTATTTTTTTAAGAGTTTTATTTAGAATAAGTATATTAATCATGGGGATATCCGTTAATTGGAAAAAACATTGAGACAGAAATATAAACTGTCAGACCCAAATACAAAATCATTATTAGTGTCAAGTGTTACAGGTTGGAATGTATTTTCTTGATACAACATTAAACACATTCTGTAATCGCTAAAAAATATGAAACAAGTAATATTGGTACACATGCATTCCAGCATTTAGATGTACCAATATTTATTATTATCTCTCATTTTTTTTAGGCTTTAGAACAAAAGATTTATTAAAGATCAAATCGAAACGTCTACATTTGCCTGTAAGGTTGCATTAACAGATTTTTAAAATGATGTTTTATTTATATAAATGAAATTACTGAGTTATTATAAAATATACATTTTTACTGTATTTATTTTGGTAATGTATTTTATTCATATAAAATTAATAAAAATCATTAAATACATCAATAAAAATAATAATCTTCAGTGTACTGTAATCCCCTCGTGAAAGCAATTATGTGATTTGATGAAAATATTGATGTTGCGAAAGTGTGGCTTACCTTTTTTGCTGCGTGTGTGCAACCAACAAATCTAAGGTGCAAGACCACTTGACACTTTTATTGGGGAAGTTATACCTGCCCCTCCCCCAACCCCCCAAAAAAAGCCCAAAAAAAGGCAACTGCAAGCTCCACTGGTGCCGTTTCACACGTTAGCCACTATTACTATACATTTACTTGAAAGCCACATTAACAAGCACAAATTACGACACATTGATACTGACGTATACACAGTTTATTAAGATAGAAAATATGGTTTTGAAAAGTTAATGTAAACTTCTCTGCGCAAACGCACTGACACAAGAAAACGAAAATTGAAATGGAACTGACGTTATGAAAGTGACACAATATGTAGACATATCCTGTGGCGTCTCTCACTTTCCTCAAGACTTGATGAAACAACTGCTTTTGGATGTGAAATGCAATATTTAGAAGAACGAAGATTACAAAGTTGGGAGTGCTGCGTAATCGGGAAAAGAAGGAGCTTGTGTCACAAAGTAAAAGGGGCGGGGCGTCGGCGAAAAGGCTTTCAATTCAATTTTGGCGCATCATGATTGCCACTGGATCGCATGGGGGATGTACTGTGATTGCAGTAAGTATTGGGAGGAGTAAATTATACAAATGATTTGAGAATGAGAATAGTTTTATTTTTCAAGTTGGGTTTTGTTTTGTGAATTTTTGCAGGGCTGATCTTTTTTTCATGGACAAGTCAGGTTTTATTTTGAAAAATTGTACATATTTTAGAGGTGTCATTTTTCAAGAGAATACTGTATTTTTTTCTTAGGAAAAAAACCCTGCATTCCACCCTCCAAGGAAAAGAAATTGCTCTAAGATGAACATGTTTTTTTTAAAAAGGTCAATTTTCCTGAGTTTTTTTTAAAGTGGAGGGAATTATTTTTTCGTGTAATTTTAGTTTTTAACAAGTTTAGTTTTTTTAACTATCCATTGCAGAATAACTCTTTGGAGAAGAAAGAAAAAAATCAGGAATCCCCCTTATTTTACAAGTACGTCGGCCTCATAGTGCAGAGGTGCAGGATTCGATTCGGCCTTCCTGTGTGGAGTTTGCATGTTCTCCCCGTGTCTGTGTGGGTTTTCTCCGGGTACTCTGGTTTCCTCCCACCTTCGAAACTGGGTGGCTAATGGAGCACCCTAAATTGTCCCGAGGTGTGAGTATATGAGTGCAGATGGTTGTGTGGATCCATGTGTGCCCTGCGATCGTCAGGCAACCAGTTCAGGATGTACCCCGCCAACTGCCCAAAGACAGCTGGGATAGGCTCCAGCAACACCACCCGCGACACTCGTGAGGATAAAGCGGTTCAGATAATGGATGGATGGATGAAAATATATATACTGTATGTATATATTATGTATGTGGTATTTTTTCAAGAAGTCCGTTTTTCTGGGGGGGGGGTAACTTAACGGAGAGGGACGTCCTTTTTTAACCCCAAATAAAAGAGTTTTTAGAAAATGTCTTAACTAACAAAAAATCCCCAGCTCAATGACTGCTGCATCAAGTTGACCATAAGTGTGACTATTGACATGCACAATAGATGGCAGCATTGTAAAAAAATAAAATGACAACCAATGGAGGTGCACTAAACAGATAAAGATATTATAAAAGACTTGAAGTTTGCTTTGCAAAAAATCCATAATTTGCAAATTGAACCTAGCATGTTTCGGCAACTTCATTGACATCGAAAGCATAACAGTTAAAGTGCTTTTAATGGCGAAATTTAGAGGGAAAACAGCTCTTGGATTTTTTGGGGGCACTGAAATCAGAGCCATCCCCCTTATGTAGTAGAGTAAAAAAATGCACAAATATTCATAAAAATGGCCCCCTAAAGGCATCAGGCTTTGTTTTTGTTTTTTTCCTGGTTTTCCGGCATGGTGATCACGAGTCCAGGTAGAAGGCATCCACGGGACCAAGGTGGGGGTCCACAGCTCCCGTGTTGAACAGGAAGTCGTCGTCATCATCGTCCAAGTCGTGGATCAAGTCAAACGCTGGAAGGGTGGGGGGGAGAGCTTCACATGACTTGGTGAACCAGCATCTGGATCGTGATTTGCGACTAATCTTGTACGCGCTCAACTAGTGATTATCAAATTGGGCTCCCTCTTGTGGAGCACCAAAAAAAAAATCACTGAATTAATTGTGAATTAATACTTTCTTGAAAGCTCATGCATATTACTTTCTATTCTTTCACTAACCCTACCTGCAGGGGGCGCTGCCGAGGCTTGTGGGAAATGTGCGGTCGGTTCTGCAAAACCTCCATCAAAGATTGGCCGAGACGCCCTCCTCTCGCCAAAGAGTCCGCTGGGAAACGCTAAAGCAAAGCGGAATCAAACTAGAGTGAAGCCACATTTGTGATTTTGGTGTTGTGGTCGGCGGTTGCCATGAGTACCTTGTTGCAGTTTGGCATCATCTGATGTCATGAACAGCACATTCCTCCTGTCAATCAAAGCATCACGTAAGCCACAGCAGTACAAGTAGTTTTTTGAAAATTCTCACTTTCCAAGGCGTGCGACTAAATGCGAAATGACTGCTTGAAACTAAAACGGCTGACTCCCTATTCAATTTCAGGCATGATCCTTTAGACTTTTTTTGTGAGTCCTGTGACCATTGACATGTCCAACCACTTTTATATTGATTTGAGAAATCCGTTTAAAGGGATGATTTTTTTTTTTTTAACTTTTCTGAATCGTGTGTGTGTCGGGGGGGGGTGGTCTGAACGTGAATTGGCTACTTCCAAACGACATAGCTGACTTCCTTTTCTGGTCTGGATACGGTGGATGCAAACTGCCCAAATGTAAGTAAGATTGTGACGATAGCTTGGTCAAATCTGGGCCTGGTTCCACGCACGCTCTGACATTGTTTATAATGCCTGGATGATCTCACATTTGCTCAGTTGGCCTAAAAGTCCTGCGGTGAAGTTAACACTACTTCAGACGGTCTGATGCACGTTTGCTACGTGATTTTGACACTCAAAGCAGGAATCACGGCTGGTCGCTCCTCGATGGTCCTTCAAAGAAATGTAATTTGCAGATACATGCAGCCCCCAAGAATTTTTGTGGAATTTGAAACGACAAAATTTAGACAACAGATCCAAACAAACATTAACCCTTCAAAAATGTCAGTTAAAAAAAAATAAAAAATCTCCTGCAGTGGAAAACCGTTATGACTGCACTATACGGTTTCCACCTTAGCTTTAGGGGGTTGTATAGGGGTGTATCCAGGAATGTGCTGAGTGTGCACAAACACTCTGACTCAACATGGAAACTGAATGCTGCCAAGAACAAAAAGAAAAGCAATTGCAGGGATGATATTCAGTGGG